TACCACACTTGAAACAAGATTAATTTTTGCAGATACTTCCTCTTGATTAATTATCAGTTTCTAGGTAAACTGATAAACCCAGAAACAAGATTAATTTTTGGAACAAAATGATAAAGTTCAAACAAACATAAACTTGAAAAAGAACATTGCCCAAAAAGACAGATCCTTCACTAATAACAAATGACTATTATAACACAAAAAACGCAGATAATTCCTCAAATTTAAACTCATTTTGCAGATCCTAATATTGTTCTAGCTCCGGCGAGATCTGAAGAACGACGACAAGCTCGCGAGGTCTTGAGAACATTCCCCATGGCATGTTGCGAAGACCCAACCACCTGAGTTTTGTAGATCAGCCTCGTTCATTCTCGACAAGCAGGACCAAGAACGAAACGACGCCACATCGGCCTTGAAACCTGACTCCCTCACTCTCCCCGCCACCACAATCCTCATCCATGGCCGACCCCTCGCAAAGCCCTAACCCTAAGATCTGGGCCTACTACCAAACCCGGGCGGCACACCACGGCATCGTCACGAGCGACTGGCTGGCCCAGGCTCAAGCTGCCGTCTGCCAGAACCCCGACGAACAAGGTCCAATTGTCGGCGAGGTTGAAGCCAAACCCGGCTCTGCTTCCGGCAAGCCCTTCAGCGTCATCGAGGAGTTCAATAACTGGAGAAAGCAGCCTGATTTGGCCGAAGGCCGTGGCGGCGATTCTGGCCTTGGCGTCTGTGATTCGGTCCAGTAAGGCCACCACGATGATGGAGCTCGAAATTGAGCTTGGGGAAGTTCCTTCGTGTTCTTGCATTCTTTAAGAGAGAGAGAGAGAGAGAGAGAATGATTTGTCTTTTTCTATTTAAATAAAAATTAATTATTTAATATAATTTTACTTGTTTTGTATAATTGTTTATTAGTTTTTTGTCCACGTGGAATCCCACGTCAATTAAAAAATGGGTCCCACAAATGCCACATAGGCAGATAACTGATTTTTTGACGATTTCACTAACGGAGGGGGCAAAATTGTAGGTTTTCTGCGACGTTGAGTATGATAAATGTCCCCAAAATCGAGTATGGACTCGTAAATGACCCTAAAGGTTGGGGAGTTTACTATAGTTTACCCTATAATTTAATAGGCCCAATGCCCCTCCATCAATGAGCTGAAAAAGGGACAGAAAGTCAGGTAGATTTTGGAGTAGTCTTGACACATTTTATATGCATTAATTCATTGCTAAAACTGAAACCCCACCATATTCTACTACAAGGGTGAAAAATAAAAGAGTAATCGAACCCCTTAATCTGATTCTGAAGTCTTGTGTTTTAATTTAGCACAGACAGGAAATAAATATTTTGGTCAATTTTCCAGACCCTCTCCAATAACTGTTTCCAATCCAATCACATGCTGTGGGTGAGGGAATTCCATATCATGCATGTTCTTGTGTCCTCAGACAAAGTTGGCTTGCTTGGCTGACTTCCATGCTTATATCCAACTTACATCTCTATGTGCTGAGAAATACTTCTCTATTCTCTCTCAAGTGATACGAGTAAAGAAATAGAGAGAAATGGGCCATGAAATGAGGATGAATTTTTTTTATTCCTATGCTTGATGTTTTCTTATACTCTTAATTACAATATTCCTCTCTTTAGCACCACCTTTGAATTGCTACATCAATTATTATTTATTTATGAAATATATCTACCCATTAACCTATAGGAACTGAGACACCAGTGGTTTTCCTTTTCATGTAGTTCCAAGGGAGCAGCTTCATAGAATCTTATGGCACAGTCCTACAATTTATGTGGTGGGCCATCTGTATCATCAACCTTTGTGACTCCTTCCCTTTCATGCATTTCTGGCTGCCTTATTAGATGATGATGATGAGCCAGCCTATTCCCATGTCTTACATTGGTCATCCCAAAAGCATGTTCTTTTTACTTCATCTCTCTCTCTCTCTCTCTCTCTCTCTCTCGGTATAACAAACTCAACCACACGTTCATCAGCTTGGGGGAGTTTTTGATTTCTCATTCCTTTTACAAGAAACCTCACTCTGTCTCATATGCACAATTTGTTATGCTCCCTACCAAGATATCAAAAATATTGACATCCAAAGAAAAACAACATTATAAATGATGAAGATTTTTACATGAAAAGATGTCTAGAGTTAATGAACATCAGGCCTGTGCCTATGGAGACATCTTTTCTGCATTAATTCAACACGTACAACAGGAATTTAAGTATAAGATCTGAGGTTGCGTTTATATATATACAGATGGTAATTTAGAACAGTTTCACAGTCCTATAGGGCTATAGCTAGCTTTAGGGGAAAAAAATGAAAAAAAGAAACTTCAATCTGTGACTTTCATAACTCTGATTTGCCTCTTCCATCTATATGAATATTTGAGGCTGCAGCACAATTATTGCGTGCTTTTTAATCCAAGTTTCACCATATGACACAAGTCTTTTTCTTTTTCTTCTGTATTCTTTGTGGAAATTGCACTACTTTTCAAAACAACATGTTTATAAATCAATGAATAAAGATATATTTTTATAGAAACTTCCTGCAATCGTCTATGCTTGGTATGTGATGTGCAAATTAAATCATCATTGAATTTTACTTGCGTACAAGTTTTTACATGCCTCATCCTGGTTACTGCAATTTTTATGGGTAACAATGTAAGAAAGGTCCTCAATAATTTATGGTCTCGTACCTTGGTTCTACACGTGCAAACATGGGGGCACACGTGGGAGTGGGAGGGGCAGACTGGCAGAGGAAGAAGACAACAAAAGAAAGCAGAGGTGAGTGAGAGAAGGCAGGCAGATAATATGAGGGAGATATGATGATGGGAACAATATATTCTGTACACCAAGTACTGTTTATTTTTACCTGTCAATATTGAATGCCCACACACCCACACACCCACACACATGCTTTTCACTTCTCTTCCCATCTGGTCTGAAAAGTTGGAGACCAAGTGATTTATTGTTTTTTAAAAGATGTAACAAATGGGGGTTCTTTTGGATTTTGGAGAGTTTCTATTAGCCCCTCCTCCTCTCTCATGTCCCCAGTTAATAACATTGTCTGCTAACTCATAACTAATCCTTCATGTCATCTGTAGGCTCAGACAGGAGCAAAACTTATATATCATAGCAGAACGTGATTGGATGAAAATAGTAAAATAATGTTATCCCCGTAACGTGTAAGTTCTTCTCCTAAGACAGAGGAACCGAGTTGGTAATAATGGCCATCTTAATTGAAGTTTAATATTTGAGAATGCTGTAAACTTTGTTTTAGTCATTTTATTTATACTGTTGTTATGTGGATGAATATGACAAGGCTAAAGAGAAATTTGTTTGTCTTGCAGGTTCCCAATGTGGGATATGATGACATCAAAAGAACACAGGGATCTCATAAGCATGTTCACATGCATTATATACATACATCTTAAATGCTACAGGCATGAACCTGTACAGGGAAAGGGGAGAATAGTGGCACACAAACGTGCATGAGTAATTTGGCTTTGCTGGGACCCTTGTGGTATGTATGTACAAACTGACTGGGAGAGTTTTGTAGAGGAATTGAAAAATTCAAGCAAACTCCAGATGGCGAGGACCATTCATTAATAGAATAGTAAAAAAAAACCAAATGAGGGTCTAACTGATCTACTCTCTCTATCTTTTTATGAGTTGTGTATCTGTATTCTGTGATGGGTTTTTGTTTTCTTTTGAATTCTCATATTATGCGGAGTCAGGATGTTCAAAGATTTTGACCCAAACTGCTCACTTCTTCCAAGCCTAGATAGTACATTCCTGTGAAAACTATGACAAACAATAAATGAAACGTCTGCAACTGGGTTTTCCAGAGAGTGAAAACTAAAAATAAGACCAAAGTTTCCTTCCATTATTTTGTACATGTTAGTATTTATTGTTGATATCTGCTATTATTTCTTAGGGTAAGGGTAAGGGTAATAAGAAATGAGTCTAGTTAAACATTAAAAGTTTAACCAATTATTCAAGGTAAGCTTGAATTATATCTGATACAAAAAATAAAATTGATGTCTCCTCGAAGTACATGAACCCTCTATTCTAAAAGAGACAGAGAAACAGGTGGGGAGGTGGGGTTTAGAATGACGTTAAGGAAGTGGCCTTTTCGGACTGTTATAATAGTTGTGAAAGAAGGGACATGAAAATCAAAGCAAATTCATGGCCAAAGTGTTTGGTGGTGATGGTCGTTAGGTCAACTTCAGGTGGTTAACTGAAACCCAAGGTAAACAGCCTTCAACTCTAGTTAAAAAGGAGGTTTGCTGAGTGCTGCTGAAGATGGATAGAGAGGGCTTGCTGGCTGGCTGGCCTACCTTCTTCTTTACTAGTGTTCAACAGAAGGAGGGGCTCTTGTGTCAAAGTGCTCTTCTATCTGTGGTTTGAAAAGAAAGGAGTGTCTTAGCCCTGCACAAGCCCAAGCTAGCACACATCACATTAAGAGTCTTTCTTGTCAATCTTGAGAGAGACAGCCTTAAGCAAGAACCTTCAACTTCAACCCCATGAACATGAATGGAGAGAGAGAGAGAGAGAGAGAGAGAGAGAAGTTTCACACGTGTGAGTGATGTGGGATTTGTTAAAGAAAGAGAGAGAATAATAGTAAAATAATAGAAGGAGCTTGTTAAATTGTAGGGTCAGGGTCGTCAGGGTTGTTAACTACTTAAAAGCACTTCTCTCTCTGTCTCTCCCCTCCAACTCCCTATACACAGAGTCAGTGAGACTGAGATGAGAGGCCGTGTAGTGTAGGTTTCTGAACACTATTTGCTATTTTTGCTGTTTCTAGTTTTCCTTCTTGCAACACTGCAAAACAAGTCCTTTCTCTTCCACCAGCTGTCTGTCATTTTTTTGCTATAATAATTTTTATTTCCACAGCCAATTGTTTTTCCCTCTTTTCAAGGCCATTATAAGATGACTTTGTAACAGTTCGATGTAACCATTAGCATTTGTGACAAGAAAGGAAATGAAGGCATGGCAAACAATGGTGCTATATATGTAACAGAAAGCCCAAATGCCTTCAGCTGCTTCTCCTCTGCTCCCTCCTTTTCCTCTTCTTCTCCCTCTTGTTCAATGGGAATGGTTTATGCAGATATGGGCTCCCTTTCACTTAGTTCCAACTATGGCCTTGTTTCATCTGTTTCTTCTCAGGAGAGTAGCTATATCTCAAAGCTTTCTGAAGTGGAAAATGGGAGGGGGTTTTGGGGTTTTCCTCCTATGGGGAACTGCAACAACAGAAGCTCTGAGGACTACCACCACAACACTGACATTGGTGACGGTAAGGGCTCAGATAGCAGCAGTGATCACGAGAGTGGGGAAAATAATCAGACTTGTATGAATGATCAGAAAGCCAACCTAATAAACCATGAGAAGTACCCTAATGAGAATGTGGTGATTGGTGGGAAGGAAACAGAAAGTGGGCAGTCAAAACATTGTGCCAGAGGGCATTGGAGGCCTGCAGAAGATTCCAAGCTCAAGGAACTTGTCGCTCTTTATGGCCCTCAGAATTGGAACCTCATAGCAGAGAAGTTGGAAGGAAGATCAGGTAAGAAGTGAGAATTTTTTAGTCCTTTGTCCATAGGTATGTTTTCTGTTCCATTTTTTTCTCATCTCTTTCGCTTTTTCGTGTTTATTCTGATCTTTAACACATCTCTCTTTGTGTTTGTCTATGTTCAAAAGGTAAGAGCTGTAGACTAAGATGGTTTAACCAGTTGGACCCAAGGATCAACAGAAGAGCTTTTACTGAAGAGGAAGAAGATAGACTAATGCAAGCTCATAGAGTATATGGAAACAAATGGGCCATGATAGCTAGGCTCTTTCCTGGAAGAACTGATAATGCTGTCAAGAACCATTGGCATGTTATAATGGCCAGGAAGTACAGAGAACAATCCAGTGCTTACAGGAGGAGGAAGCTCAGTCAAACTGTTTACAGAAGAATGGAGGAAGATCCAAGCTTCAATGTCTCAAGGAGTACAGAGCCTCCATCTTACTGTACTCTCAATCTCCCCCCAAATGGAGGTCTCAGCAATAGCACTTTATCTCCTTTCCCATATGGAACAAGCTACAATGGTGTTGTTGGTTGTGGGGTTGACTATTATGGCTCAAACGGCTCACCCAACATGACCAGTGCGGAAGAAGAAACAATCCCAAGCAAAAAAGTCAGTCCTTTCGAATTCTTCCCTGGTATGTCATTCAGGATCCCTCATTTCCTTTCTCACGATTCTTTCTGTTCGTGCATCTTTGGTTTTTGTGCTGTTTCTTTATTGGCTCGCCGTTTTACAAGTTTGCCTCATTGTCTTGTTCTTTGTTGATCCGGGGCCTCAACCTTCTGTTTTCCATTGAATAATGCAACCCTTTTTAATTGGTCACCTTTCTAGTGCCTAAAACTCTCTCTCTCGCACAAACACACAATAAGTTACAATACTTTCTCTGGCTGTGTTTTGCAGGTACCAAGAGCAATGTGGGGGTGATGGGGATGGTGAGCCAGAGCAGATCTTGGGATAGTTCAAGTGATATTGAGGGTCATTTATGTAACCTGCATCCTCACCATCAACCATACATGATGGCAATGCAACAGGCAAACTACCACAACCTTCTTCACAGTTACTCAGATTCATCAATACCAGCATCACCACGTCAAGTTTCAGCCGGCAAACCCTCACCATCAGCTGCTGCTGCTGCAGATGAGGACAGAGTTGGTGGCAGCCACCATGAGACCCTTCCACCACCATTCATTGATTTTCTTGGGGTAGGAGCCACATGAAGTTAGAAGCCAAGAAAAGCTGAAAATGGTTTTTCACTTAATCATCAGAAAAGGGGCTCAATGTGGTTGTGGTCCAAGAAAACTATGAAGCCATTCGAGGTAAAAGAGAAAGGATTGGTGTTTAAGTTCTCGCTGACATTGAAGAATCTGCATCAGTCCCTTTAAGTCATATCCCACCATCTTTTTCTATGTACCCCCCAAACTCTCACATGAGACCCTTGCCAAAAGGTGAAACAAATAAATTAGATTATTGTCACAAATTGACATGTCACATTTGTTCTCTCTCTCTCTCTCTCCCCATATTTTCCTATGGTTTCATGTTAGGAATTCCATGGACCTCAAGAAAATGAAGATCGAATTAACTTAAGTTTTTTGTGTTTTCAAATCTTGTATTTGTTTTAAAAAAAAATAATTAGGAAAAGGAGTACTTAGAATAAAATGGGGATGATGATGAAATGATGAGGCAAACGAAGACAAGAACAGAGGAATTGAAACTGTTTGGAACATCCTTTTCCCACGGGGACTGTGAAACTGAGGCACAAATTCTGCAACTGAACACCAATCAAGCATATGTATATATATCTCCCAATGCATTCATGATGGAAACTGTTAAACATGCTTTCCCCATCAGCAGAATCTTACTGGGAGAGAATTCATGCAATGCAATGCACATGGGCTTTAGCCGTTTGGAACTGTCTTAAATAGTACTTACTATTTTGTGGGATAAGAGTCCACAACTTCTCAAGCATATTTGCTTATTTTTCTGCTGCTGAAACAAGCAACATGATGTGATAATCCAATCCACACTCAAAGCAGTCCCTATTCACAAGTCAAGGGGTGTATATAATTAATCCAATACCGTATTAACTGGTTTCACTGTACAACATAATTACACGTGAGATTCGGTATGGAAGTTTTTTTGGCCGATATCTGTTGCCCAAAACAGGAAATATTGAGTGGTCCACACTCCACTAATTGTTTGAATTTGACTTGAAAACTCATCCACCTCTGTTAAAGTACAGACTCGAGGTTGATAGAGGAACGCTGACTAGTCTTTGGGCCTTCATACAAGATTTCCATCTCAAGACTGTTCCTTTTCATTGAGGCTACTGTTTACTTGAGCCTGTCTTGGGCTTATTTGGGCTCCTCATCAAACAATTTCGAAAGCCCTTATGTACTAAACCAACCTTCTTTTGATAAGGATTTAAATTTGGTAAATTTCTTCGTCCGCCGATAAAGAGTTACACCTGGTATATGTAAGTCTTCTATATTTTAATTTAAGGACTGTTTGGGCCTAAAAATTGACACACCCAGCCCAGCGAAAGAGGCCCAGAATAAGGTTACAAAAAATCAAAGCAGTTGGTCTTCGAGAAACAGGAAGATGGAAGCCCAAAAATTCAGAAGAGCCCAGCCCAAAGCTTATCAAAGCGAACAAAACTAACCTGGGTCTCACAGGCCCGTTGTGATAAAAAGGGGGGAGCCCAGAAACAGGAAACAAACCCACGTGACATCTCTGGGATAAAGGAAAGTCAACAATGGCAACTGTCATAGAAGAAGTGATTGAAAAGTTTATGTCATCAAGCTGTTCTGAAAACCCTGAAAAATCTGAAGATCAAAATCCCTCTTACATATATATATTCAGAGATTTTTTCTTCTATTCTACAGAGAGGGTAATTCTCCCAATGAGATAAGCAAGCTACAAACTCAGAGAGAGATAAGCAGGAAAGCAGGGAGCTGTCCAAAAGAAGTCAAACTAACCATCACGGATGAAATCTCACAAAGGGCAGTTAAAATTGGGAAAAGCGATTAGGTTCTTTTTCAAGAAAAACAGGGAAGTGATTGCCTATTTAAGAGCCTATCTGCCAAACTGATGAAATCCTGTTTTCTTTCTTTCCATTAAAAAAGAAAAAAAGGGGGGAGATATCTTTTGAAAAGATTTGCCGCCCATTATTAAACAGAATTTCCTTACTCCAGAAAAACATTTTACTATAAATACAAGAAGGAGTGAACAGGGCAAAGGACACAAAAAAATTCAACACCCAATCAAACAAAATCTTACACAAGAAAACCATCAGTCAAATAGACAACTCAAAAATCAACCAAAAAGCCCACTTGAATTTCAAGTGAAACCAGCTTCAGATCAGAATTCCCAAGGCGCAGACTTAAGAAATAAGTCATTCAAAACGAGATTTCTCTCGTTACAAATTTGGTTCAGCAAAAACCAAGACAGGTAGAGCTTGAGCTTTCCCCAAACATGGAAAACCTCAACAAAATTCACAGTGCAGTCTCTAGCCCACTAAAGCCCTCAAAAACAGTCACTTCTGCCCGTGCAGACTGAGGAAACCGCAGTTCTGCCCACTCAAAAGCTTCACAAAAGCTTGAGGTACATTGAAGCTCTGCCAGGATCAACCTTTGGTATCGATTTACAGTTGAAGCTTAGCAGTCAAATTTGTCAACGGTCCAGTCCAGCCCAGGCATGTCCAGTCCAGCCCGGATCAGAACCTTTCATCCCGACAGAAATGGAGTTTCAGCTGTCTCTTCATCTCTCTCTAGCATGAGTATTTATTGTTATAGTTTTGTAAAAGGCAGTTCCGCCTAAAAACAGTTTAAATTCCATCAACCATT